GCTGCCTACCTTGTGGTTCAAACTGACCTTGCAGTCCAGCACATTAACCCGCAGCACCACGCGTTTATCACATAGTCACCTTTCGGCTTTGTCAATTCCTCTATTGTTTCTTCATTCTCTATTTAATTGATTCCTGCTCCTTATTATTTCTTTCCTTGAGCTTACTTGGTTATTTTGCTATCCCTTTCCTATTTTCTTTAGTTATAATCTTTGCTAACAGATTAAAAAGCTTTTTTGTTTATTATTATAATGACTTAAAGTTCAATCTTTCCATCTAAATATTGTTTTAGCTGGGTCCCACAAATTTTGAAATATTGCATTTCAATTAAAATTCAATTCAAAATATATTTTCATTTCTCGTAATTTCTTCATTGATACATTGATACGTTGAATATCTAGGAGTTTATTGATTAATTCCAATTAGTTTGGAATTGTCTAGATTTATTTTGATATTGTCCTTGTTTTTAATTTAGTTTTATTTGTTCAGATAACATACTCTGTATATTTTTTCACAATTTTTCCTAAATTGTATTTATTTTATTTTTGTTGAGAACCTACACAGAAAAACATCCACTGATTCAAAAGTTGCTACATGCATAATTTAGTGACATTAATTATATTATTTGAATCATGCAAGCATTCTTAAGCTCTTTTATGAAGTTATTTCTCTTTCATTAACATAAATTCTGTGTCCCCTAAGGTTCCTAGCTAATCTTTCAAGTCTCTTAAATTTTATTGAGAGGTGCTTTATGAACCAGTATAAGATCTATCTTCATGAACTGTCTATAAATATTAAACAGATAAGTTTGCGTGATAGTGTTTCCAGACTCCTGTATCTATATTCCAATCATTTCAGTGGCATGGGAATCCAGGTGTAGCACTGTAGGATCAGCACTGGACTGCTAACCACAAGGTCAGTGGTTCAAATTCACCAGCTGCTCCTCAGAAACCCTATAAGGGATCGCTATTAGTCTGAATCAACTCAATGATGGCTAACAACAACAATATCCATATAAGACTTTTGTCAATTTATTATATCAATTACTAAAATTGGGTATTAAAGTCTCCAGATATAATTATGTATATGTCTTCTTTTCCTAAGAGTCCTGGTGCTGTGCCATAGGATAAGCACTGGACTGCTCACAGAAAAGGCTGGTCATTCAAACCCATGAACTCTTCCTTGGAAATCCTATATAGGGTCACTATTAATCAGAAATGACTTGATGATATTTAACAAAAACAACTTCTTTCCCTTTAGTTCTGTCCATTTTTGTTTCATGGATCTGAAGTTTGCTATTAGCTGTACATACATGAGGCTTTTGTTTGAATCTCTTTTATCTTCTTGAGCTTTATCTACTCAAGGAAAAATCCAAATAAATGTGGACTCCCTCCAATGTGATTCATTTCTTTCAGGCTTGAATCTCCTTCGCTTCTGTCTATTCTTGGTCACTCTTCTCTTCAGTTCTTCTGCTCTTTCAAACAGTTGTTGTTCTACATGATCCAGAGTATATCATTGTCACTGGCACAAGGATTAGTCTGATGTAAGCTGTTCTGCCATAAGATACTTCACTATTACTTGAAACTGCATATCTGATACAAGTTTTTAGGAATATCTGGCAGGATTTAATTTAGTCTTGGATATGGGATAAGAGGAAGAAAGAGGAGTCAAGTATGCCTTCCAGTTTGGGGTGTTTTTGTTTTGTGTGTGTGTGTGTGTTTAACCTAAGCATGTGAGTGAATGCTGGTGTATTTAGTGGAGGTAGGGAAGACTGTTGTTGCTAGGTACCATGAGTCAGTTCTCACACATTACAACCCTTTGCACAACAGAATTAAGCAAAGTCAGGTCCTACCTCCAACCTCATAATTGTTGTTACATTTGAGCCCATTGTTGGTGCTATTGTTGCCAAGCCATCTCATTGGGGGGTCTTCTTTTTCTCTAACCCTCCACTTTACCAATCATGAAATCCTTATCCAGGAACTGGTCCCTCCAGATAAAATATCTGAAGGATGAAATAGTAATAAGAATCACCATCCTGGCTACTAAGGATCATTCTGGCTGTACTTGTAACACAGATATGTTTGTTCTTCTGACAGTCCATGGTAATTTTACCATAACTCAAATGCATCAATTCTTCTCTGGTATTCCTTGTGTATTGTCCAACTTTCACATGCTTATGAGGCTATTGAAAACACCATGGCTTGAGTCAAGCGTACCTTAGTCCTCAAACTGATCTTAGCTCTTAACATTATAAGAGGTATTTTGCAGTAGATTTGCTAATGCAACACATCATTTGATTTTTTTGACTGTTGCTTCCAAGCAAAATTAAGTCTTTGAGAATTTCAATCTTTCCCCCATTTATTATGATGATATTTATTGGTCCAGTTGTGAGGATTTTTGTTTTCTTTACATTGAGGTACAATTCACATAAAGGGCTTTGATTTTCATCAGTAAGAATTTTAAGCCCTTTCACTTCCTGCAAGCAAAATTTATCATCTACATGTTGTAATTTGTTAAAGCTTCTCCCTCCAATCCTGATGTCATGTTCTTCTTCATATAATCCAGTTTCTCAGAATATTTGTACAGCATACAGATCAAATAAGTATGGTGAAAGGATACAACTCTGGCGCACGTCTTTTCAGATTTTAAACCATTCAGTATCTCCTTGTTCTGTTCTAACAACTGCCTCTTGGTAAGTGTACAGGTTCTTAATGAGCACAATTATTTTGGAATACCCAGTTTTTGCAATATTATAAATAGCTTGTTATGATCCACACAGTCAAAAACATTTGCATAGTCAGTAAAGAACGATTAAACATCTTTCTGGTATTCTCTACTTTCAGTCAAGATCATCTAACATCAGCCGTGATATCGCTAGTTCCATGTGCAACTTGAATTTTTGGCAGTTCTCTGTCAATGTATGATTGCAGACATTTTTAAATTATCTTCAGCAAATTTTTACTTTCAGGTGATATTAATGATATTGTTTGATGATTTCTGCATTCCATTGGATCACCTCCCTTTGGAATGGGTACAAATATGGATCTTTTCCAATCAACTGTCAGGTAGTTATCTTCCAAATTTCTAAGCACAGATGAGTGAGCACCTCCATTGTTGCACCAACTTACTGAAAGATTTCAATTTGTATTTTGTCAGTTCTTAGAGATCTTTTGTTTGTTAATGTCTTCAGTGCAATTTGGACTTTTTCTTTCAGTATCATAGGTTCTTGATCATATGTTACCTCTTGCAATGGTTGAACATTGTGCATTTCTTTTAGTACAGGGTCTCTGTGTATTCCTTCCATCTTCTTTTGATGCTTTCTGCATCATTCAACATTTTGCCTGTGTTGTTGCTGTTAAGTGCCCTTGAGTTAGTTTCAACTCATGTTGTTGTTAAGTGCCGTCGAGTCGGTTCCGACCCATAGCGACCCTGTACAGGGTTTCTGAGGGTGTAAATCCTTACGGGAGTAGAAAGCCTCATCTTTCTCCCGCGGAGCGGCTGGTAGTTTCGAACCGCTGACCTTAAGGTTCGCAGCCCGATTCGTAACCACTACGCTACCAGAGCTCCTTAGCAACCCTATATAGGGTTACTGAGGAACAAATGGTGAGCTCGAACCGCTGACCTTGAGGTTCAAACCAACCTTAGAGTGGGATAAAATGTAGAACAAACTTCAAGATTATAAAATAGACTGGGTTTGCTGGTTGGAGAAAACTGTAGGAACTCGAGTCTAAGGCCATCGTTCACCCATCAGGTCTAAAAGTGAACTCATTCTCAGTCAAGAGAACGATTTCCGTAAAGAGAATGATTTTATGATGAGCTAATTTCCTAAAAAGGGTTCTATTTAAAATCAGATGAGCTTTCCCTGAAGAACATCTGATTTCTTCAGTTATCTCTCTGAGCTATTATGGTCAGTAGAAGAGTTCCTTAAACTCACATTCCTCCATCTTGGCTGGGCTCCACATCAAGCATACCTTGGTCTTATAAAATTTATAAAATCCTCCTTCAGCTAGAAGGAGAAAGTAACCATAATTATATACAAAGTAACTAGCTTGACTGAATTTCACATGCAAGCAGGAGCAAAGTTCTCCTTCTCAAAAACAATGTAGACAAGAGTATGTTTACCTGGTGTTTGAATAACACTCTAGTTAGAACAGACCAGCTTCTAACTATAATTGGATCCGTGGGATATTGTCCCTGGGGTTTCACAAGTTGTAACCCTGCACAAGTAATCTCCTAACTTTAATTTGTTGCATGAATTGTAAAGTTTTCATAAGCAACAAGAACTTAAATTGCCTTCTTGTGCCAATGACTGGTCCTTTGGAGAATATTTCTGGAGCACGAACAGGACAACTCTAGCGATATGAAAGAAACTCTCCCATGTGCATCTCACCATGTGGATATCTGTCACCATTTTACTGAGATTAAGTAGAAAACTGCTGGGTATGTCTAAATGATCAAAGTCTTCATTAGCAAAGTATTTTGTGACTTCAGAAATCTATACCTTCAGTTATTCATTGAATCTCCCAAATTATTTTGAACAGATCCCTAGAAGTACCAAAAGAAATCATGAACTTGGAAAGCAGAAAAGTTCTTAAGTAAGAAGATTTACCAGACCAGGGGAAGAAATCATTTCAGTGATAAAGAGGGAAAGAGATAACATAGCCATAGATCAGTTACAAATACGGTTTTGGAAAGGAAACATACGATTGTATTTTTTCCTCTTTCTGAAATAGACTCTACCCCAACATCTCCAAAAGAATGTTTGAGAACAAACATAAGAATTAGAGGGTCTTCTTCACTTCCTGTTTAAAATTTTTCCTTCTTAACGACACATCCTTCGAACATATATTGCTAATACAGTTATCAAGCTATAGAAACACTTAAACACAAGTACATATGAAGAAAAAAATACCAGCCAATGAGGAGGGAGATCTTACTTTTATAAATAATGTGTGATGTTTGCCTTCCTATACATAGATATAGATTAACATGACATAATAAAATGTTCCAGGGAAATTGGACATCTGTAACAAAGTTTTTCTTCCTGGGATTTACCTCCTACCCAAAAGTTGAGATCATCATATTTGTGTTGTGTCTGTTGATGTACCTGATCACCTTCCTGGGCAATATTATTATAATCTCCATCAGCATTTTAGATTCTCGCCTGCACACCCCCATGTACTTTTTCCTCAGCAACCTCTCCTTCCTGGACATCTGGTATACCTCTTCTGCTCTAACACCAATGCTGACAAATTTTGTTACAGGAAAAAACACCATTTCTTTCTCAGGATGTGCTGCTCAGATGTATTTCTCTCTTGCCATGGGGTCCACTGAGTGTGTGCTCCTGTCCATGATGGCATATGACCGGTATGTGGCCATTTGCAACCCCCTTAGATATCCCATCATCATGAACAAGAGGATCTGTTTGCAGATTGCAGCTGGCTCCTGGGTGACGGGTTGCCTCACTGCACTTGTGGAAACTACGTCGGTGCTGCCGCTCTCTCTCTGTGGCAATAACATCATCAATCATTTCACTTGTGAAATTCTGGCTGTCTTGAAACTGGTTTGTGTGGATACCTCCATGGCACAATTAATCATGCTGGTGATCAGCATACTTCTCCTTCCTATGCCAATGCTTCTCATTTGTATCTCTTATGCCTTCATCCTCTCCAATATCCTGAGAATCAGCTCAGTGGATGGCAGAAGCAAAGCCTTTTCAACATGTGCATCCCACCTGACTGTGGTAGTTTTATTCTATGGGACAGCTCTTTCTATGTACCTGAAGCCTTCTGCTGTAGATTCACAGGAAGTAGATAAATTTATGGCTTTGATATATGCTGGATTAACCCCCATGTTGAATCCCATCATCTACAGTCTACGGAACAAAGAGGTAAAAGGAGCAGTAAAAAAAATGCTCATTAGAAATCCTTTTGGTACTTTCTTAATTTCCATTTTTAGGTAATATTTGAATATGCACACACACCTGTATAATTTCCAGTACTATCCAGAAAGCTACATAATATTTGGCATAAACCAAAATTCCTGGATAATACTCATTTATGATAGGAACTCACCATTAAAACCTGCATGTTGATTTGCCTTATAAATAAAATTAATATTAATGAGTCGTTTAGACGCTCAGAATTATGTTTCCAGAAAAGTATTTAGCATTCTTGAATATTCATTTAAGATTAAAAATTGACACCTGCCTATATTTTCATATTTGACTAGCTATATCATCTCATGCCCAAATCAGGCATGGTTATAACTAATATAGGAAAAGTGTGCAATATTGAATCTAGTAGATTTTGAAGTAATTTTCATGTAAGTTGTTTCCAATAACCTCTGAATTGAAGAAGAAATAGGAGGTATTTGCAAAATAAATGTTGATACAATAAAAGTTACAAAGGTACCATCATTCATAAAACCAAGATACCATCAATTTTGCAACTGTTTCATTTCTGAGATTTTAAAATGTAACAAAATCAATAAAGTTTTACAGTGGATGAAATAGAGTAGAAATGATTTTGGTTATTTGGGTTGTGTACATCATCACAGAAGGTTTGCATAATTCTAGTTGTGTGTATGAAATGAGGTAGAGGCATAGCCACTGGAGATCTTGAAGTAGCTATAGGTATAAGTTTAGAATACTTTCAGGCTATACTTGCAAAGTTTTAGTGAATTCATCACTACACTCTCCTATTTTTCTTAGAGTAGGCTCAGCTGACTAAGCAAGGTTGAGGAAGAAACTATGTCCATCCCTACCCTGAAGATATGATATGGCAAGGCAAAGGGTATATTAATTTACACATTGTTGTTAAGTGCTGTTAAGTCAGTTCCAACTCATAGCAACCCTGTACAGGGTTTCCAAGGAGCAACTGGTGGATTTGAACTGCCAGCCTTGTGATTCACAGCCCAGTGCTGATCTCACAGCACCACATCAGGACATATATGGGGGAAGTATTCATAAATATTGCAAAAGTTAAGATTCTAAAAATTTTCTAGATTGATAAGCTTCTCTTTGTCTTTTTCATTCTGACTGGAGTTGGGATAACATGAAGTCTATATTTCCACAACACTTCCTCTTTATCAAAGGAACCTTTGAATTTATGTGGATAGTGATTTAACCTCTGTAGGCATCTTCTTGCTAGTGTACACTGAGTATGCCTGAGCCTTAGGTTAGGGCAGATGAGAGAATGTAGATAACTTTGATATTAGTTCCCAGCTTGAGCAAGAGAGAGCTTTCAGGGAATGGCTCAATGAACAGTGAATGGATTGAGGAAATAATTGAATGAGTAGGAACTGTGCTGTTCTTAATCTAAGTTACCTTTGAATGAGAAAACTTTTTCTCCTTAGATGTTAAGTGCTCTTCAGATGGTTCCTACTTATAGCAATCCTGTATAGGGCTTCAGAAGCTGTAAATCTTTGCTGGAGCAGAAAGCTTCATCTTTCTCCCACAAAGCAGATGATGGGCTTGAACTGCCAGCCTTGTGTTTTGTAGTCCAGTGCTTATCCTACAGAGCCACCATTCTCAGATCAACCATCAACATTCATGGAAGCAGCAGTCAAGAAAGCAAACGATGCATTTCATTAGGCAAATCTGCTGCCCGAGATCTTTTTGAAGTGTTGAAGAGTAAAGATGTCAGCTTGAGGACTAAGGTCCACCTGACACAAGCCATGGTATTTTCAATAGCCTCATATACATGTGAAAGCTGGACAGTGATAATGAAGATCGTAGAAGAACTGATGCATTTGAGTTTTGGTGTAGAAGGAGAATATTGAAAATACCATGGGCTGCCAAAAGAACAAACAGATCTGTGTTGGGAGAAGTACAGCCAGAGTGCTCCTTGGAGGACAGGATGACCAGACTTTGTCTCTCATACTTCGGACATATTATCAAAAGGGACCAGTCACTGGAGAAGGATATCATGTTTGGTAAGGTAGAGAGTCAGAGAAAAAGAGGCAGACTCCAGCGAGATGGATTGACAAAGTGGCAACAACAGTGGGCTCAAATATGGCAACAATTGTGAGGTTGGCCCAGGACCAGGCAGTGTTTCATTCTGTTGTGTATAGGGTCACTATGAGTCGGTACCGACTTGACAGCACCTAACAACAACAATACACTCACACACATAGGTAGATAATATGTTTCGATGTTAAGGAAATGCAAATATTCCAAAGCATAATTTATCAAATTTATGGGGAAAAAAATGTTTTATCTGCCAGAATTTGCTATAAAAATTCCAGGGAAAAGGAGAGCTCATTCAAGAATGTGAAAATTTTCAGAGGGCCTGAGACTTTGTTCAAATAATTATGTAAATGCAATGTTTCACTCTGTTTATTTGCTGCAGTATTCATTTGTGGACTGAAAAAAGGAAGAACCTGAACTCAAGTTAATTTGAAATATCCTGATGCTGTTGTTGTTGTTGTTAACTACTGCCAAGTTGTTTCTGACTCATAACGACCCTGTATAGGGTTTCTGAGGATCATCTGGTGAGCTTGAACCACTGACCTTGCAGTCCAGTCAATTATACAGTCAATTTATAACTTGTTATTGTTGTTAAGTGTCATTGAATAGGTTCCAATTGCTAATAACCCTGTATATGGTTTCCAAAGAGCAGCTGGTGGGTTTGAATTGCCTACCTTGTGGTTCACAGTCCAGGGCTGATCCTACCGCACCACATTTTTAATTAGTGTGGAGAAATATTCTTAAAAGCTTATTTAAATATACTGAGAATTGGGGTCCTCATTTACTTGCTGACACTGAGGCAAGGTTGACTCTCATTGCCATGTGATCTCATTCCCCCTCACACAGCTCCAGCCATCTTCAAGTTCTTACGGGTACATTGAAGCCTTCTTGTACTTCAAATTTCTCTGACTTAATCATCTGTGATCAGCCAGAGAAGACTCTCTGCTTTTAAAAGCTTTATGTGATTAGAATTAGTCAAAAGAAATTATACTACATTTGCTAACCACAGGAGTAGCATTAACATATGAAGGTCTCAGGGTTGCGGTGGGGAGGGGGGGGGTCATTTTAAATTCTACTATGCCATGTGATATCTTCGGACAGATGATCACAATGAACAGAATTCTCATTAGCTTAAAAAATAGAAACTGTAAAATTGTATTTTCAAATCACAGTATATTATAAATTGATAAACACTTAAAGCTAAAATTTGAAAAATGTAAAGCAAAGACATATTTTTAAGTTACATTTGGATACAAGAAAGAGGAAATTAGAATTAGAATGATGTGAAAGGCTTCTAAAAGATCATGGAAAAATGCAATTAAAAGATCATGGAATTTTTCCACAAACTTTTTGAAATTCCCTCATACGATACTAAAAATATCAAGACCTTGAGTATCATATATCAAAATTTAGATATATATTATTTATTTTAAATGGTTTAGTTATTAAATGGTATGTAAACACAGAAGCTAACAAACTACTTTAAGGAAAACATACAAAATATATTTTTTAAATTAAAGAAAACAGAAGAAATTAATAATAGCAAAACTACTACTTAAAAGACCATTGACCCCCAAATACTTTCTTAGCACTTAATTTTATCATGGGAACAGTGGCTGTCTGAAGAGATATTAGTTATTATTTGTTTATGTAGCTATGGTGTGCTTGTATCACTTTTCCAATTTTGTGCTCGGCTGCATCCCTGCTTCCTTCAAGACTGCTGAAAATCTAAGTGTTTTAAATATTTGTCAAATGAACTAAAAGCAGGTATTAAGAAACAGAAAGAAATTAACCCAATTTAATTGCTTCAAAAATGATAGTAAATAAATAAATCATTACTTAATCCATTTAAGTACAGTGAAAATATATAAATACATAAAATTGCAAATAATAAAATTATCAAATTCACATATTCCAAGGTGATTTTTAAAAATAGAAGTGTTATGAATCATTGCACAAAAATCAGGTGAAAATTCTGTTGAAATGAAAGATTTAAAATAATAAAGCAATATGCTTTCAAACTAATAGCCATATCAAATTCCATGTTAATAAGTATGAATCACTCCTGTGAAAATCTGGGCCAAGATAAAGGTAACTTTTAATACTTATTATTATTCAACATCTATTGTTATTGATTATCCAGTTTATGTAGTCAGATGGACCTATATATCTATCATTAAAAATATAAGAATTGAAAGAAAGTTATTAATAGTCAATGTGTCTTAGAAAATCCATGAGGAACAACAGAAAGTTTACTAAAGTAGTAAAAATATTCAATTAGTCTCTGGTTACACAAAAATATCTAATAACTAATAATTTCTCTAATAAGAATGGGAATTTCAGAACACTTAATCGTGCTCTTGCAGAACCTGACCATAGACCAAAAGGCAGTCATTTGAATAGAAAAAGGAGATACTGCATGCTTAAAATCAGGAAAGGTGTGTATCAGGATTGTGTACTTTCACCACACTTATTCAATCTGTTGTTGTTGTTAAGTGCCGTCGAGTCGGTTCCGACCCATAGCGACCCTGTACAGGGTTTCCGAGGGTGTAAATCCTTACGGGAGTAGAAAGCCTCATCTTTCTCCCGCGGAGCGGCTGGTAGTTTCGAACCGCTGACCTTAAGGTTCGCAGCTCGATTCGTAACCACTACGCTACCAGAGCTCCTTTATTCAATCTGTATGCTGAGCAAATAATTCCAGAAGTTGGAATACATGAAGAAAAATATGGTATCAAGTTTGGAGGAAGTTCCACTAACAACCTGTGATATGCAGAAAAACCAACCTTGCTTGCTGAAAGTGAAGAGAACTTGCAACACTTACTGATGAAGATTAACGACTACAGCCTTCAGTGTGGATTATAACTCAATGTAATGAAAACAAAAATTCTCACCATCATGATTAATGGAGAAAAGATTAAAGTTACTAAGAATTTCATTTCATTTTACTTGGATCCACAATCAAACTCATGGAAACATCAGTTAAGAAATCAAAT